TTATCAATTCAATCCTCTTAAGGTTAAGTCAATCCTATTAATCAGGCTTGTGATGTGGAGAACCTTATTATTTCAAAGTCAATCTGCCCATCAGTCAGTTACGACATTGGGAACAATCAGCTCCAGCCCAGAGGGGTGCGTGACCCAAGCGGCGTGTGCGGGGCTGCGGGTCTCACCAGCTCCATGACACCCTTCGTCCCTGAGAGGCTGGGGCTGGAGGACCTTCCCCGGGATGGTGAGGTGCTAAATCCTTCCTGGGTGTGGACAGGATACGTTCTGCAAAACTTGCGTTGCTTGTTGGTTGTGTCTCTGGAAAGGCTCCCTTTACCTAGGAAATGCTCCTGCTCTCACCACTGCCATGCCAGGCACCGGCTGGCTCCGTCTTTCTGCCTCCTGGGCTCAGGAGCTGGAGGAGGGAGGCACTGCCCAGCGACACCCCCCAGGCACAGGGACTGGCACCCTGAACCCCTTCGGAACTGGGATACTTGATGTAGACAGACCCCTCGCCAGGGTGGGGTAGGCTTTCTTGGCACTGGTAAGCGCAAGCACTGGAAGTGTCAAGCACTGCGGAGTGCTCGGCCCCCCAGCCCGGCGGGGTGCATGGGGCCGAGGGCCGGTGGTGCTCTGGGCAGGCAGGGCTGTCAGCTATTGATCGGACGTGTGACTGAATCAGCTGTCTTCTCTGCTCCGGCTGCGTCCCCTGCAAAGAAGCTTTTTCTTCCCATTTTTTGTGTTTGAGCAATGCAGTTAGTCCGCTTCCTTGGCCCTATTGACATGGGCAATGAAGGATTGTTTTCTTGAGCAGGTGTTGGTTTTTCTCTCAGTGGACTCAGTTTTGAATGAGCCCTTTCTGATTCAGTTCACCCCCAGGGCATCTGCGCCCTGGGCCCATACCGATGCCGGCTGCCACGGGGCAGCAGCTTCAGGCGTCCGCCTGCGGGACCTCACGCGGCGCGGCGTAGGGCTGCAGCGCGCTCTTTTTCAGGGCATCACCCATATTTCCTTCCACCTCCCCCAGGCAAAGGTTTGGGTGACCTGCCGTGGCAGCATGAAGCAGCCCTGCTGCGAGATGACTTACTTAGTCAGATGTCCTGAATTGCTGCATGTGTGAGGGACGAGGCAGGGGTCAGGGCACCCACAGGAAGATGCTGTTTTGTTGTGGTTTGAGACAGGAGGATGAATTCAACCTCTGCAGGGGAAGCGGCATCTGAAGCTCAACGGATGAAGACTCAGGGGAAATGGAAATGTTTTTAGGCTACGCTACAGGTAAATCGGGATGGAGACATTTGAGGGAGAGAGCGAGGTGCCTGGAGCAAACCCAGGCTCAGGCCAGCGCTGCTGCTGCCCTGTGCAGGCAGGGCGGGTGCTGGGGGTGACGCGCAGCCCGGGACGGCCGTCCAGAGGATGCTGTGGCTGAGGATGCGGGGAGATGAGCTGCAGAGCAGCGCGGGCGTCCCAGGCGGAGGGGAAGCTGCAGCACTGGAAGTACTTTGTGGTGGCGTGTTTGAGCCCTGAGATGGTGCTGAGGACTGTGCCTGCTGCTGCCTGCTGCAGGGACCGGGCTGCCCCTTCAGCAGCGAAACTCCTGCGTGCGTTCTGGAGGACTGGAGGAGCTGCCTTAGAATAGTACATGCTGCTATGGGCTCATGCTTGGTTTATTTGAAAAGTGCTGGAAACCAGTGCAGCCTTGTGCTGTCATGCTCTGAATTTATTTATTTATGAATTGCTTTTCTTTATCAGCATATGTGCAGTGACTGAAGTTGCACAGGTTCAGCTGTGCCCAGTCTGAAGCAAATATCCTTAAAATAAACACGGGAGCAAGGCTAAAGAACGCTGCCACAGCCCTTAGTTTTTACTGTAGACCTTTTCCTTCCCTTCTTGACTCCAATGTAATGAAATAAAGCATCTTATTTTCTTCCATTGCCAGGGGCCCTAACTAAAAACAACCCCCTGCTGATCTGTGCTGCTCAGAAACAGGGAGTTTTATTGGCTTTAGTTATTGCATTTTATTCAGAGCCTTGTATGTGGGTGAGTGAGGCTCCCAGAGGGATTCGACAAGTATTTGCATTCCATTTGTGTCTTCCGAGTGCTGGCTGCTGGCGTACTTAAGGCAGAGATACCAGACGTGTGATCCAGAGCTGAAGTAGCTTTTTTCTGTGGAGGGAAGGCAAGATCTGGAAGATGGCCCTGGGACAGAAATTGCAGGATGTCATGGGAACTGACCCGCGGACGAGGCTCCTGTCCCGCAGCTAGCAGAGCTCCGCTCACGCAGGGACACTGGCTGTGGGTATTTTGATCCCTGATGTATCTTGGGGCCGGTTCGTACAGCCGGGCGAGATGCCTCCGGCAGCCCCGGGAGGCTGGACCTGCTGGGGACGGTGAGCAGCCCGGGCCTGGGGGATGCTGTTGGGTATCCTGGCTGTCGCCTCCATCCCCTGGTCAGTAACAAGGCGGGATTCTGCCAGGTTACACCCCAGCTTTGGGTGCTGCCCTGAAATGGAGCTCTTTGGGATTTCAGCAGCTTTCCTTTCCACTTTGGAGACAAGGGGTCGTTTTCTCAGCTGTCGAGCTGCAGGTGCTCCGTAGGGGATAACGACAGCAGCAGAGGTTTCGGGGGGATCTTCTCCGGCTTTGTGTTGAGTCCCACACTGGAATTTTGCCTCATTTTAAATTCTAGTTAATTCTGTAGATCAGCTAAACCTATCAAAATTCACATTATTGCTGGCTAAAACTTGGCCGCTGGGTTTCCACCGCTCGGCAGCCCTGGCTCCCAGTTGGGTTGTGCATTGCAGCTTGGCCCCGCGTCCCGCGGCAGTCAGTCCTCAGCTGACAAGAGGGAGGAAAAGCAAACACTTGGCTAAGAGAAGCTATGAAACTCAGTGTTCGTGAGATAATTAGTATGTTGGGAAAGTGACAGAAAAGAGAATCAAGCAAAGCCAAGGTCAGCGGCTGCTAATTAAGAATCAGCACCTTGTGTCAGCCTGAGCTGTGGCTTGGAATTGAAACGTACCCTGGGAGAGACCCAGGAAGATAAAGGTGATAGAGTTACCCAGATAGCAGCTAACAGGATTTGAGCAGGGGTTTAAAGTTTCATTCCAGCTCTGCTGATAAAAGGGGCAAAATGAGAGAAAATCGTGGGGGGAGGCACGTGCTTTGCTTCCAGGAGGGATTTTTGCCTCTGCAGCTGCTGGAGCATTGCAGACATAGCGGGATCTGAGGAAGGAGATCTTCTGGCTAAAGAAGTGATGGAAGTGACTTTTTTTCCCAAAGCTTCTCCTCTGGCTTTTCTGGAGGCTCTTCTGGGAAGGTCATGGCTGTATGTCAGTCCCGGTCATGGTCTGTGGGAAGGCGGGAGGGATCAGGCCGATGGGTGCTGCAGAGATGCCAGCCTTCCTGCCCTCCCCTGTTCTCAGAGGAGATGTACCTGCCTGCCGCCTGGGTTTTCCTTTGTCTGGGACAGAAGCACAGTAATGAAGGGCCTGTGGATTAAATGATCTGGTGGGTTCAGGTGGAGCTGTTTCTTGAACCTTGATTAAACTTTCAATGCACAGATGTCCGTATGAAAAATGAAGCGGAGCTAAGTGCCTCTCTTGCAAATCTCCTGGCCAGCAGCTGGCCGGGAATGGGACCTGAGTGTCCCCTCTGCCGAGTCGGGGTTGGAGCAGGCTGGGTCATGGCCACAGTGCACCGGGCGCTCTGGGAGCTGTGCTTTGCATGGGGACAGCGAGGACAGGACCTGGGTCCCTGCACGGCAGCTCTGGGGTTCTCCTGCTGCCCCTGCCAGGAGCAGGTTACATCTGGTACGGTCGCGACAAACGAAGGAGAATTTCTTAGTGAAAGGTTATTACTGAGCAGATTATTTTGTTTTAGAGGAAGGCAGTTTTAAAAAGTGCCCTTGGTTGTAGAAGTGAATTGTATGTCAACATTGCTCTGTCTCCTGCATGGGGAAACAATAAGAGGTCTAACGCGCGTGATTTACATGGTGCCAGCAGCCTGTTTCCCTTTGTCGTCCAGGTGAGTGGTGCTGGGTGGGAGGAGGTCGACCCTTCCAGCACCCAGCGCAGCAAGGAGCTGGGCAGGGGCCCAGAGCTGCTTTTCCCATTAGCAGTGCAGAGGACGGAAGCTGAATATGTATTAGCGTTAAAAACTGCATGGCATTTCTCCTGCATTAACGCTAGCTACAGCACACTAAATATTACACCACGTAGTGGATTTTCTGCAGAATGCATGGGGAGCTACGTGACCCTCTCTGATCACTTAACGCTGTTGCTGAAGCAGACACGGAGCTCGGTCTGAAGTGCTGTTTTTCTGCTAGAATTTGCAATTCAGTAGCCCAGACTGTTGCATGGGGCACCTGTCAGCATGTGGTCTGCTCCTGCTCACCCCTTCCATTGCTCTGCAGCACAGAGGGTTATAAAATTGCATGTATTTGGTTGTGTGCACATCAGACCAAAAATGTGCCTAAAATGTGTGCTGTAGCAGTGCTGTTTATTTTCATGAATACCAAGGAAATAGGACATTTGAGCATTTTGATGCATATTACAGGATTGATTCTCAGCCGTTAGCTGTGGGGCACAGCTCATGACATCTCAGTATGCCCCTGTTTTGCAGCCAGTGCAGTTAAACATGAAATGCAGCCAATTTAACAGTGGAGAAGACGTTTCACCCACAAATCATGAGGCTGATATGAGACCCAACCAAAAACCAGGATTGATAGAGGGGCAAATGTGGTGCAGGCCTGGAATGAATCATTTTTTGGGGTGCAAAATTTGAGACTCCCCAGAGATTTATCTCTCCTCTTGTGTCCATGAGGCTGGAGAAACAGGAGAAAAGTCGGGCTGGTAGTAGGGCAGCATGCACACACAGGATCACCCGCAGCACCTCCACTCCCTCTTGTGTCTTACGAAGGTGAGACCTCTCTGGAGAAGGGGAGGCTGCCTGCTGTGCTGAACAAAGCGTCTGTCAGTGCGTGGTGACCCACCATGGGCTTTGCTTTCCAGGATTTCTTGACTGACCTGATGATGTCTGAAGTTGATCGCTGTGGTGAGAATGAGCATCTCATTTTCAGGGAGAATACACTGGCCACCAAAGCAATCGAAGAATACCTGAAGCTGGTGGGGCAGAAATACTTGCAAGATGCCTTAGGTACGTACAGAGCGTTGGCAAGTCTCGCTCAGAGAGGTCCTCCTCTAAGCTGCAGGGTGCTCTGTGTGGTGGAGACCATCAGCTGAGCCCTGATGGCCATAGGAGGCACCAGCATTTACCTGCTGGAGGGTTCCTCTGGCAGCGGGGTCTGAGCCCGGGGCACAGCCACGGCCGCAGCGAGCAGCTCTCTGCTCCCAGGTGAAGGTCACCGCTGAGTTAGCGCTTTAATTTGCTTGCAGAGAAGATAACAAATTGGTATTTGAAGGCATTATGCTGCCTGCCACGTCTTCTGTCTCGGCACTGGCAGTGTCACGGAGGCTGATTGAATCCTTCCCCTGATTGCACACCCCCGCCGGAGACGCTCCCCCGGTTCCTCGCAGCACTAGTGAGTCAGATGAAATCTCCCAAGTTACAGTGATGAGAGTTGCCTCCCAGATTGCACTGGGAACCCTCCTGGTGGTTTTTTTTTAAGTGCTGGCTATGTTTATGGCTCCAAAAATATTTCTGTTGATGCAAATGAAAATAATTAGAGCTTCTGCTTCTGGGCAGGTCAGGAAGGAATTGCTGCATTGCTGTGTGCAGCCAGCACAGCACGAGGATGGGGAGGGGCTGCCTTTACCTCAGCCGAACGCAGCTAGATTGGATCCACATCCTAGCAGTAGGATGAGCAGAGTTTCTATTGAGCTGTTAATTTTTCAGTATGTTGGGTTCCAGCTAATGGATTTGTCTAATGTTAGCAAGGAGCAAAGTACTGTAAATACTTTATTAAGATAATAATAATAATAATGACAACTTTGAGGAAGGGGAGATTGTTGAGCAAATTCAGTCAAACCAAGAGATAGCCCAGAAGAGTAGGAAAAGGAATGTTATTTATTTCTGCCTTGTAATGCTTTCTGGTTGAAGGCAAGTCTGTAAGTAGATTACCTCATAAAATTTCTAAAAAGCCAGGAGATTAATGGAGGCAGAGAATTTTGAAATACTCCCCTTTCAGGGCTCGAAGCAAATGCTGCCAAGCCAGCTCCATCTAGTACAGGAGGAGCCTGCAGTTCTTGCTCGCTGTTCGGGGCCTTGATTCTGTGTAGACCTTTTATCAGTGAAATGATTCATCTGTGTGTCACAAGGTAACACAATACAGCATAGCGCTTTCCTTTAAACCATGAAGCACAAGCAAGTAATAGGGCCGGATAATAACAGCAGGCATCACCTGCAGGCGAGCAGAGAGGCTCCAGAGCTCCCTGGCAGAGCTGAAAATACATTGGAGAGGCTCTCCAGTACGTAATTAAAATCTGTTTTGGCAATAGGGGAGGAATGCAGACTAGAGTGGGGAAAAAACCAGGAGGTTGGGAAAATCCAAGATGGTCAGGAATTAGGAGATGAGCAAACCAATTGGAATTAGAAGAAAACCAAAGCAAACCTTTCTCCCAGAACGTCACCTGGCCCTGCAGGTCCCTAGCTAAACACTGCCTCTTAATCCCTGTTATCCCGTCCCCCGGCCTCCCCAGCCTCTGCTGTGTGCTGACTGGGATGGACGACTGCCATCCCCCCAGCTGGACACGTGTCGGGGCGGTGGGCAGCACCCTCAGCCTGGGCGGCGGGGGTCTGTGCCCCGCTACCCCGGGGTGAAAGGTGGCACGAAGGCGAGGAGCTGGCAGAGCAGGCCCACAGTGTGAGTCTCTGCAAGGGTGAGGAGCAGCCAGGCAGTAAACAGGAGTGCAGGGAAACGCAGAAAAATATTTTAATTTAATTTTGTGTGATGTTCAGCTCAAAATAAACCAAGTAAATTGTTTCTTTCCTTTAATTACCTATTTCTCCCGTGAATCACGCTGGCTTGTCAGCACCAGGGCACAGTCTGCAGTAGCAGGCCATCCTACAAATAATTACAGAACTTGCCAGCATACTTCCTACTGGATTAGCCCGAGGGAGCATCTCTGGAACTGGTGTAATGGGGGGTCGGGGCAGGCTGAGGAAGCGGGTGTTTTGGCAGCGGAGTTCTGATGCAATAGCCCATAGCCACAGAGGCAGAGCTGCCAGCTAGGGAAGAGGGATGAGACGTGCTCGTCAGGAGTCCGGGTGCCTTTCTGCAGGGTGTGCTGTATGGTTTTGTGAGCTCCCAAGGCAGTGCTGGCTGCTCCTGGGCCGCTCGGAGAACTTGAGAGCTGTCTGGGGCACAGCGTGCCCCGGGAGCCACTGCCGCCTGCTCTCGTACCCGGCTTCTGTTCAGCCAGCGTGATGGGGCGTAAGGTAACTGCTTGGGCACTGGGGCTTACGAACAGTCTTGCTCGAAGACTGCGTCTCTCATGTCTCCAAACCCATCACTGACTGTCTGTTTTACAGGGGAATTTATCAAGGCTCTGTACGAATCAGATGAAAATTGTGAGGTGGATCCCAGTAAGTGTTCATCTTCAGACCTTCCTGAACATCAGAGCAACCTGAAAATGTGCTGCGAGCTGGCCTTCTGCAAAATCATCAACTCCTACTGGTCAGTATCCCACGAGTGTCGCTCTGCTCCGCATGCCCTCAGCTAGGGCAGAGGTGGTACAGCTGCAGGGGACAAGGGTGGCAGCAGTCCATCTTCAGGCTGTTGGTACCTGTCCCTTAGCTGCGCTGATGGGCAGCTTGTCGGAGAGCTTTGGAGGGAGAGCTGCGGGGCCCTGCCCGCGTCCTGCTGCACATAAAGCGGTCCTGGTGGTCCAGCAGCAAGGATGGGGATGGCCAGGGGGTGAGACAGCAGCTCCCGCTCAGCGGAGTTTGGAGTATCTGCTCTGGGGGTGCGACAGATTCACCGATTCCCCGTCACGCGTGTTTTCAGTGGGTACTGAAGGGTTACTGGAGCACGGACGCAGGGATGGGGCAGTGGAATGGAACATGAAATGCCTTTGCCAGTGTGACCAGTTCAGAGAGGGACTTACTGCCAACTGTATGTGAAAGTCTGGAATAAAGGGCAGAAATGCATGTCCTGGGTCTCCTACCCGTGTAGCGATTCAGTCTGGATCAGACTGATGGACTCTGCCTGTCTCCCCAGAGCGTCAGGTGAAGTGTTGAAATCCTCTCTGCAGCAGGCAGGGTCTGTGGCACTGCTCCTGCCTGCAAGGAAGCTGCACCAGCACAGGGAGCTTCTGTTTAGGCAGATGTTCTCTTGTTGCGGGGTGCTGGAGCCCGGGAGGATGCTGCTGTTACTCCCGGGTTGCTCTTTGGCTCAGCGTCCTGCATTCTTCTGGGTTAACCCCTCTCTCTCCCAGCCCCGGGGTGCTTGCTGAGGCAGAGATGGGGAGCCCATTGCCTCCTTGGCCCAAGGCCTGGTATGCAGTTTGAGGCATTTCCTAGTTGTTTGTTCTCAGGGTAAATGTTCTTGCAACTAGTTGGAACAGACCCGAATATGCAAAATTGATTGGAATAAGGCAGTCGTATCTTGTTGTGGAGGTGGCTGTCAGGCATGGCTGTGCTCATGGTGTTACCTGCTGCTCAGCCCTGGGGACCGGGAGCCAGGAGTCCTTGGGTCTGTTACAGATGCTGCCTGCAAAGGTGACCTGAAAGGGGAAAAAATGGGCTTGTGACCCTCTTTACTTGGAGAAATAAAAGTATTTTCTTTCTGCTTCTTGCTAACATACCCAGAGACTCTTGTCCTGATCGTATGAGAGAATGATCATTTTTGTATTACTTCTGGATTTGCAGTCTTCCTGCTTAAAAGTCTGGGCTTAGTTTTTATTAATGTATTTAGTAGCAACACTGTTGTTGCAAAACATCAACTAAGGATAATATTGGAGGAAGGAAGTATTTGATAATAAAGATTTCTCATTTTCTCTCCTATCCCAGCTGTTGTGTTGAGGTCTGAAAACTCGTTATAGGCAATCTCTCAGGATACTGAGTATGCCCTCCTGCAAGCCCAGGAAGGGAATTGCTTTTCTTGATATTGCTGAGGGAGAGAACAAGCAGCGAGAGGCTCGCTCAGACTTCCTTTATCTACCACAAATAAGCAAAGGGCAGATGTCTTTACAGGTATCCTATACCTTATCCTGGGCCAATTAATAACTCTCTGACTCAGGAATGGTGTTTACCTGCTTTCCCAGGAGGGATTCACTGCTTTTAGTCACCAGTGGATTATAATTGTTTGAATTAACGTCTTCCTAAAAATACCCAAAGCCGCACTAAAGGGTCACTCTAAAAATAGGCTTGAAAAGTGACCAAAGGAAAGTCAGGAATGCACGGGAAGTTTGTTCCTCCAGTCCTGCCTTTCCGAGGAAGGCTGGAGCAGCTGAGCTGCTGCTCTGAGTAGTTCCCCCTCGGTCCTTTGTGCTCAGCGGTTCTTGGGGATTAATTGGGCTGATGAGTGTTCGGGATTGGCCAAGGTATCCTGACAGCTAACGATCTTGCTTTAAATAGAGTGCCAGAGTGTGCATGCTCATCTGCCGGAGAGAGTCAGAGAGAGGAAAGAGGTTTACAATAACTGAAAATTGTTATAATTATGACATAATTTGGACATCTGGAAAGTTTCAGTGTAAGCAGAAATTCAGCATGTGGAAGCTCGTTACCGGAAGGTTGGGTAATGAATTACGGGCCCGTTTGTCACATAAAGCCGGCTAACTGAATTCCATCCGCTGTTACACAATTAAACTTTTATGATCTCCCAGCCTGTGATAGTGAACAGTACTCACGGGCTGTGTGCAGCCGATGCATACGTTTTCAAGGGTTTACTTTCCAGTAACTGTACAACCTGTCCTGATCATTCAAGCCTTAAATTGCTTAAAGGATTCTCCTGTTTCTGGGCAAATACCATGAAGTAAAAGGGCTTTGTCCAATTGTGTGGATCAAGCCAAAGGCAGAGGAGAATTTATCCAGCCAAAGATGTTGGCTAATGTTATTTATAAAGCACAGGGTACAAGCTCACGTGTGTGAAAGCATGAAGCCAACACGGAGCAGAAGCTGAACGTGATGGCAGCATTGGCCGAGCACTTCCATGGAGTGTCACCGCTCATGTCAGAAGGACAGAGAGAAACCTCCTGGAAACCTGGAGCGCAGCTACCTGGCCCTCTGTAGGCAGCAGTGCTGTGCTGAACGGGCTGCCCGGGGTGGGAAGCGCGCGGCAGGGTGCCCACGGGCTGGGATGAACAGCAGCAGCCCCAGACCTGGGGCGTGCGGCCGGGCAGTGCGGTCTGCAGCTGGCAGATTAATGAAATGAGGGGTGAGGGCTCTGCCTGCTGAGCGTGTACACTGCTGGCTCAGAGAATGGCCGCGGAGGCAGAGACCACGGCTGTTTGGCTGCAGGGTACCTGCCACTCTGATGGACCACAAACCCCGCAGGTCCTGAACTCTGCAGCTGTGGCGAGGAGCAGTCAGTTGGGCTTGATGACTTGGGAAGCAGAGGCCGGAGGACAGGGAGTGCTGGCAGCAGGAGGAGCACCCTCGTATTCTCCCGGAGGCCTGGCGGTGCTGCCGCTGGGGCAGCGTGCACGGGCGGGTTCTTTGCTCCGAGTGCTGCTCCGTTTCGGAGCCTCCCACCTGATTCTTGCTCCAGGTGGACAGTGGACAGTGTCTCTGGCCATGCAACTCCCACGGTTTTCTCTTCTTCTTGACCTGTGTGAGGTTCAGCCGCAGGGCAGTCAGTCCCAGAGAGGGGGGCAGGCCAGTAAGAAGCCAGCTGACGTTGGTTTGCTTCTCCCAGATAGTCCCTGCAGCAAAACTGGGAAACCATCCTCTGAAATGGCTGTTTGTTAAGAAGATTCATGGCCTAAAATGGAGTCTGACCCCTCTTCAGTCTGCTTTTGTACCGCCCAGCTCTGTCGGTAAACAGCTCTGGTTTTGAAACAAGGACGGTGGTTGCTGGCCAGGGCAGCCTCCGGGGCGGGTGGGGAGCTGTGTGCCAGGGACCCAGGGGACCAGCGGCAGCGCGGTGGGACCCATTGCCAGCCTGCTCCCACGGGTGGGAGTATCCAGCTGAATAAATAATACATGCTGGGAACAGGATAAGGTGGGAGCAGGGAGCTGGGGAGGGCTGAGCAGAAACAGGCAGCACGTTCTCTGGCGATAAGGGCTGCTGCAGCGAGCGTCTGCTGGACCCGGGGAAATTCTGGTATCCAGGAAGGCCAGGCTGAGGTCTGTGCAGTTACAAGGCTGGAGTGACTCCGGTGGGGCTCCGTGTCAGTACTAGTCCCAGTGGGATTTGATCCAGGTGCTTGAACAGGAGTATTACAATTTGCACAGCCCTCCCTCCAAGCACCAGCTCTACCGGTGACCCCGGTACTGCTGGTGTTTCTGCTGAGGGGGTCCCACGATGCTGTGTTTCTTCAGGAGACACACTCCACCTTGGTGGCTGAGCTTCCCCCCAGTTCGTAGTGCCCTGTGACACAGCCATCTGACTTGTGATGAGCTGCTTTGCACAGCTTGTTTCATAGCTCTGTCTTCCCAGTTGTCTGGGGTTTTGGCACCCAGCACAACCAGGAATATGAGTCTGATGAAAGCTGCTTCTCTTACAACTTTATGGAGAGGCTTTGCTTTTTCCTGCACGGTTTGAGTCTCTTAGTGGACACTGCAAAAAAAAAAAGGATGAACCTGCGACTGGCGTAGACAGCGGTGCTGCTGTGGATCAGGAGGGTGAGAGGGCTCTACTGTCGCACAGGTCTGGGTGTCACACCCCATAGCTGATACGCACCGTGTTTAGTTACTGCTCTGAGGCAGTTTGAACACCCTGCCCTTGAACTTGCCATCCCTGCATGTCCTTCTGTCGTTTCAGTGTCTTCCCAAGGGAGCTCAAAGAAGTTTTTGCCTCATGGAGACAAGAATGCAGCAACCGAGGCCGCCCAGACATCAGTGAGCGACTGATCAGTGCCTCCCTCTTCCTCCGGTTCCTCTGTCCAGCCATCATGTCCCCGTCCCTCTTCAGTCTCCTGCAGGAGTACCCGGATGACCGCACTGCCCGCACTTTGACCCTCATTGCCAAGGTCACCCAGAACCTCGCCAACTTTGCCAAGTAAGCTGGGGTGCAGGAGCGGGAGGGGGAAGGAAACTCCGGGCGTGTAGGCAGAGCCACGGCTCCGGCATCAGGAGTCCTACACTGGCCGCTCCTTTCCTCGATGGAAAGGGCCTGTTGTTTCCTGTCGGCTTTTTCCCCTACGTCTCTCTGGGACCCATTCCCTCACTGTTAGGTCAGGGAGATCATTTAAGTTTCCAAAACAGGACATGTTTTATGAGCAGGAAAACAGGCCGTTTTGACCACGCAGACGAGCCGGCAGGGTGGCAGCAGGAACGCCCCGGCCCAGCCAGGCACTTTGTCCCGTGATGGCTGTGCGGTGGTGCACTGCCCACCTCCCGTCACAGGCACCAGCAGGACCAGAACCCAAACAGCAGCAACGGTGTGCGTAGCTCAGGAGCTGGTCTTTCCCTCCTGTGGGCTCTGGGACCTTCCCTGCTATTAAAATGCAGTTCTCTGAACTGGGAAGGTATGAAAAGAGAATGGGGACACTATCAATTTCTAACTAAGCCCATTGGTTTGATGGAAACAAAGCGGGAGATTTCTGAAAATCTTTCCATTGGCTGCTGCTCTGAGCTACTTAGCCTGAGCTCTGATAACAAAATGATGAGCTTTCCAAAACATGAATGGACAGTTTCTGTCTTAGATTTGGAAACTAGCTTTGTACACGCGCTCGCAGTCAGGAATGCGCGTATAGGCACACAGACGGAGACGGAAGACATACAAGTGTGTTACACTAGATGACAGAAATTCTCTATGTTCCTGACCAATCCCTAACTAAAGGGTTTTCAGATTTCAGCACTTTGCAGGAAAGACTCTTTAACTAAGCTGACATTAGTCAAGCCAACGTTATCAAGCAGAGCTGTCCTGCAGACGGCACACAGCCGAGCCTCTCCTCGCAGAATCGCTGTCATTGGCACAGCACCAACTGCTGCTGGTACAGTTGAACCACGAGGCCCTCCCTGTTGTGCTCTAAATAAGACATCTAACTGAGAGTGAAGTCTGGGTGGAGTGCTTGGAGGGCAGAAGGAGGTTGCAGGAAGCCCGAGGGGACAAATGGGCTGGCCCAGCTGCAGGTGTGGTTCTCTAGGGTGATCCCCAGAGCGGTTTTGCTGGGGCAGCAGTGGCCGGCATGGCTGGAGTTAGCTTCAGTGCCCGTGGAAGACTGGGGAGAGTGCAGGATTCCTACCACCATCATTCACTGGGCTTCAGTCAGTTGATGGTGCTTGGTATTACAATTTCTTTATTTCCAGTGACGGGTCCTGTTTCTGGAGGCTGTGCCCTGGCCCAGCAGTAAGATACACTCCATTACCAACAACAGCTTTGTTTCTCTAGCTTTCACCTTTGTTACTACTGTGGAGATCCCATGCTGATGAGGACTTAGCTGGATTAGGCTGGAGTTAACTTTGGTTCCATGTTCAGTGAGGTACCAGGTGCCTGCTAGCAACCCGGTGATCCCGAAGGCTTTGAAGGGTTCAGATGCCAGAGGAAGGCTCTGGCATTCTTACCTGCATATGTACCTACCTGTTCTGTTGACTGCACTTCTGTTTACAGGATTTAGCTGAAATTCGTATTGCTGTCTTGATAGGTTTGGCAGCAAAGAGGAATACATGTCCTTTATGAATCAGTTCCTGGAACACGAATGGACTAACATGCAGAGGTTTCTACTGGAGATTTCCAATCCCGAAACCATCTCAAACACAGCTGGCTTTGAAGGCTACATTGACCTGGGCCGGGAACTGTCCACTTTGCACTCACTACTCTGGGAAGTCATATCTCAACTGGAGCAGGTATCCAGGGGGATCGCAGGGGCAGGCTTTGGGGGAAGCGGTTGGCCAGGGCTGGGCATGTGCACCACACCACACACCTCCCCATGTCCAGCAGGTATCAGTCCATTAGCTGTATCTGTGCGCAGCACAGCTGTTACTAACCCTTAGCACTTCCCCAGCCTTTGCACGTGCTGCAGAAGTAGCTCATTCTTTACATCCTTCTTTGAGGCAGGGGGGGATAG